GCTCTGTCCTGGCAGCACAGAGCCTGCTTGGAATTCTCTCTCTCCCTCTCTCTTCCCCTCCCCCAATCAGGATGTGTCTCTCTCAAAATAAATAAATATAAAAGTAAAAAAAGAGAGAGAGAAAGCCATTTTACCAGGAAAACTCCTGTATATAACCAGAAAAAAAGAATGAGAGCATTCAAATAGCATTGTTCACATTAGAAAAATAACCAGACACATTCAAACATCTGTAAGAATTTACAAAAGAATGGTGAATAAATTGTGGTATATCCAGGTAATTAATATACTATGCAGCAGAGAAAGTCATGAATAACAGTGAAAAGGACCAATATGGCTAAATCTGAGGGACAATTAACTTAAAAATCATGCTTTTGAAGAATATTTATAGTGTGATTTCATTATATGCCTTAAACATGCAAACTATTTAAAAATAAATATAAAACAGATGCAATAAAGCTTTAAAAATGCAACACAGATTTTACAAGGTTCAACAGGCTTGCATTTTCCTGAGTCTTTGCTTACGAACGAGTAGTCTCATGTCTCTGAACACCAACTTCAGTTTTCTAATATGACCCTGAAAAGTCAAAATGTTTCATACCTTGTTTACTGATGCCCTAGTCTTAAATTCACCCAATGTGATTGTAATTTCTGTGTATTATTTTGGTCCCTAAGTGCCAGACCTTGTCTATTGTTTCTCATCAAGAAAACAAGTTTTAAGGTTTGGGTGGCCCAAAAAATAAAGATCCTTCTTCCTGCTTCATAGAACTTATTTGTTCCAATAAACAGTAGGTAGAAAGGAGAAATCAAAATTAAAAAGCCACATCAAACAAGACTCCTGGCTTTATTGTAAATTCTGGAAAAGGGCAATAATTTTGCAAATTCCGTTAATTCTTTAACATGATGACAAGTATAGATACTTTCCACCTCTAGCTATGATAAAACATGGTACCACAGTTTTCCCTGATAGACTTATGCCAACTGAGTTTAAGTTCACAGAGGAGGGGCCCTGGATAACTGGCACATTAGCAAAGGTAAAAATTAATATTTTCCTTCTCCCTCCACCCTTCATCCTGCAGATGCTCTCTGGCTCCTTTGCTTTGGCACATCTCTTGTTTCTGGGAATCAAATTTTGTTTGAATGACTGCTATATACACAGTTGCTACCTCATAGAGCCAAATCCTGAACAGGCAGACAGAATCAAGATGTGGTGATCACTATATTATGGAGAAAATTTTTTTTCTGGGAAAATTTGCTTTAAAGCCCACTCCTTTTTCATATAATGAAAGAAATAGCACTGGTTATATTAGATAGCATTTTGATGTCTTATGGATTTATTAGGCATAAAATAGCTTTTAAGAGGAAATTATTACAGTGTTGAGTCAGCTTCAAAAAGTTCAGTGTTTTGGTTCAACTGAGTATGATTACTCACATTTGAGAATTCATTATAAATGCCAGGCTCCATATCTCATTTTTCTTCCAACTATTCAAATTTTATGTTCCTCCAACAGCTGTATTCAAGGTAAATTTGCCAAATGTGAAAATCATTTTCTGTGCTGCGGGTACCAGTTGCTAGGAATGATGCTACATTGTTTTTCTCTTCAATGGCATCATTAAAACTCCAGTCAGTTAATCATCAAAGGAATTACACAAACAACTTTTTCAGTTGCACCAAACATAACAAAACTTGTCAAATTTATTTTTATACAAAATTTCCATGACAATAATGAAGCAAACACCAATGTCTGCCAGGCATCACAGTTTGTGCATCAGTTTTATATTTATCCATCCTCAACTTGTCAAAATATCACGACCATCCCCAAGCAAATGCATTTACTTGAGATTTTTTATGCACCTTTCCAAAACAAGTTGTTTAAATGCTGCATATCTGTGAGAGCTCAAACCTAAATGATAACAATATAAACAGGAATGGAAGTGAGTATTTTTAGCTTTGTGTTAAATCTTTTAAAAAATACCTCCCACTTGCATTAATGTTCTAATATAGTCTCATCAATCACCCATTACTAATTGGATTATTAGCTATTTCTCTGATGTTGTACTTCATTTTTTTATTTTTTTAGTTTATTTATTTATTGCGAGAGAGGAAGATCGAGCAGGGTAGGGGAAGAGAGACAGGGAGCGAGAGAATCCCAACCAGGATCCACACAATCAGTGTGGAGCTGAAACTCAGGAACCGCAAGATCATGACCCAAACTGGAGTCTGATGTTTAACCAACTGAGCTATCCAGGCACCCCTGATGTTGTACTTTAAATGGATACCTAGATGCATCCTTATGACATTAGAAAAGAAAAGGGACAAAGAAGTTTAAGTGAACTTATTTTTTTCCCTTCTGCCAGGCCCCACCATTTTCTCAGTTTCTGTAATCATGGATTAGAGAGTCTCAGGTTGAAGTCTACAAAATATATAGCACAGGGCTCTGAGGTGGGAGCAGGAGTCCTAAGTTTAGACATATGCCAAGAATATCTTCTGATTTTGTGACTCAAAGTGGAGTACATAAGAGGGTGTTTGAATATAAAAACGATCTGCCCATTAACTGGTCCACAGGCTGAGCAACACTGATCTAGGTCAATTATTTGCCTTTCTCTATGAGTCCAAGATTATCTCCAGGCGTTTTATTCTAGTATGAATTAACCCTACAATGCAGAGATAGCTTTTATCAACATGCTCCAGAGAGGTTTTTAAAATTTTTCTTTTAAATATTATTTATCTAGGGGTGCCTGGGGGCCTCAGTTGGTTAAGTGGCCAACTTTGGCTCAGGTCATGATCTCATGGTTCGTGGGTTCGAGCCCCATATCAGGCTCTGTGCTGACGGCTAGCTCAGAGCCTGGAACCTGCTTCGGATTCTGTATCTACTACCTCTCTCTCTGACCCTCCCCTGCTCATGCTCTCTCTCTCTCTCACTCTCTCTCTCTCAGAAATAAATAAAAAACATTTAAAAAAATTAAAAAACTAATATTATTTATCTAATGAAAGATATTATATTAAGAGTTTAATATAAACACATTTCTCTATTTTTCTTACTTTCTCCTCCATCCATTAAAAATTTAAAATATTGGAAAAGCATCTCTTCCTTGAAATAATAAAGTTACATTTCCAAATGCATTCATAGAGTGAAAAACAATTTGCTCCAAGTTATTCAAAACAGTGTACTAACAAATATTAATATTAAAACTAATGTGTTATAATCAAAGTAAATCACAAAATAACAGTAATTGAAACAAAAATGAAATATAGTACCAGATATTCACAGCAGTTTAATTAGCTGCTTCATCCTGCTTCAAGGTTTTTAAAATAACTAGCAGTGCAAGTCCTAAAGCTCTAACAATTTGGTTACATTTGCCACTAGCAAATGTTCAGTAAATACATAATGTTCAATTATAAATTCTTTTTTTTTCTGTTTTTGTTTGTTTCAGGTTTTTTAAAAAATTTGAATTAGTTAACATATAATATAATATTGGTTGCAGGACAGAACTTAGTGTTTCATCACTTACATATAACACCCAGTGCTCATCACAAGTGTCCTCCTTAATACCCATCACTCATTTAGCCCATCCCCCTTCTACCTCCCCTCTATCAACCCTCATTTTGTTCTCTATAGTTAAGAGTCTCTTATGGATTACCTCCCGCCTTTTCTTTTCTTCTTTCTGCTAAGTTCCTCTGTTTGGTTTCTTAAATTCCACCTATGAGTGATATCATATGTTATTTAATAATAAATTCGAATGTGCTTGTTTTATTTTGAACTTTTTGTTTTAATATTCTATATTGTAATGCATTATTAAATACATAAATAATATATGTAAGCTCTAAAGAAAAATAGTATGAACTCACAACCCAACCCCCAAATGAGACCATTCCCAATAATTTACATCTATCTTTGTGCCATTCTTCTATTCCACCCCATTATGTCTCCTTGAGGGAGAACCACTGTTTTTCATTCTGTTTACCACTTTCTAGATTCTCTAGTTTTATTGTGTGCTGAGGTATGTATCGGTGTTGCATTTTTAAAAAATTCTATCATTATATATACTACTGTTGTAATCTTTCAGGATCTGTTGTGTTGTCCTGATCTGTTTCCAAAGGTCCATTCCTGCAATCATGTCTAGCTGTAATTTCTTTCTTTTTATGGCTGCGTTCTATCCAATTGTGTGAATGTGTCCCAGTTTCTTTACCCACTGTCTTGTCAATGTGATTTGAAGTATTACAAGTTTTGGAGGGGTATGCCTTTCTCTTCCCTTCTCTCTCTCTCTCTCTCTCTCTTTTTATCCTCACAAACATTTTTCTTTTTTTTTCTTTTTTCTTTTAATGTGGACATAAAAATTTATTTTTAATTACAAATTGTGTCATGCAACAAGCATGGAATCTCCCCTATCACCATTACACAAGAGTGAAGTAATGCAGCTGTCGCTTGCCACTTGCAAAAGAAACAGTAAAGGCAGTATTTGTAAGTCAAATACTTGCACTGTCGGAACTATTTGTACTTAAAGGTAAAATTTGATTTAAATGCTTAATTCTTTTACAACTTAATCAGATTAACATTTTGCCCTAAACGTCCCAGCTTTACAGCAGTGAGGCTGCTGACAACCTTTCTTTTCACAAAGGTGTATCCAGAGGCTCACGGGACTCAAGTGACCAGTATTTACTTTATTTTCTTCTGTATTAATGTACTCTTTACCCACCAGAGTACACCTGACATAGAGCAACCAAGAAGTTCCTTATCATTAATAATGGCCCTATCTTTACAATCTAAAACTAATCATAAACGATTACTTCCCAGCCTTAACCCACATCAACTGATAAATCACTATAATGAAAAACAAGCTTCAGAGTTTTCTCCAGGTATTTAATGCAATATGCAATGTAGCCATATTCCATGAAATGCTGATTACCACTAGGGGGCTGTTGCCCTACTGAATCAAATAAAAGTACTGCAATACAGCTAAAAGCTTTAAGAGAGATGTATTTCTGCTCTTAACCACTATAATGTAGACAGTCTGATAAATAAGGTTGTCTCTTGTGCTTTTTCTACTGTGGGAGGATATATATTTTATAGATGACACTCACAATCAACTCTACTGGTTTAAGAGTTCTAAATGTTATGTTTACTATAGACCTTTTTTTCTTCCCCATTTAAGATGGGAAGACCCAGCCTTTGGTATAAGTAACTTATAATTTCCATGGCAATATTGAAATGATATCATTAGTGTTCACTGTCAGTTGTGTAGTCTTTTGGTAAGGGGGTGGCCAGAGCCTCTTTGCTCTCAGTAAGTGCTCGGGGCTGATGGATAAACACACTAAATTTAACACCCTGGTTGTTGGCGGCTCTGACAAAACCACTATTGGCAGTCATCGTGATGGCTTTTAGAGTGTCTCCTGTCCCAAAAATTGTTAACGAGCGGCTATTGATTTTTGAACTGGCCACTAGTCTCAAGGCACGCTCCGAAGGCTGGTCTGGTACCACATTAATTTATTTAATTAGCATCGTGGCCCTCTCTCTCTCCCCAGGTCCTCCTAAGGTATCTAGAATAGACTGAAAGTCCTTGACAGCAGATTCACAAGCAAACAACTCCTTGTCCTTCATAAATGCCTCCAGCTGCGGTAAAACCTGCTCCTTCATCTCTTGCTCTGCTTGTTCTGTGAGCACTTTTTCTTTGAAGATAAAGTGGCAGCCTCCATAGCTGAGAGCAGATACATATGTGATTAAAGTAGTAATGTACAGATTTACCCTTTTGCACACATCAACCTTAATTTCCGTTGGAAACGCAACACTTGCTAGTATATTTTCTCGGTCTACTCTGGTCACTTGCAAAAGTTCAGGGCCTTCATCATAAGACTCACTTTCGCTTGGCTGGAGCTCTTCAGGATGATCTAACAGAGAGTTAACTGCTACTATGTCTCCTCTCACCGATATGCCCATTTCTAGGAGCTTCTCCGCCATGGAGCTGGAGACACTGTTGTAAAACGCAAAGATGATGTGAGGGTTGCTATACTGCACTGGCTGCTGGTGACTGGCCTGGAGGAAGTCTTCAGCCTGCTCAATGATGCTTTTGTCACCATACTGGCCCCTGCCCAGCCAAATGTTATGTAGAGCTTCAGCCTTGCGGCCAATGGCTTTCACCCATGTATGACCGCCATTTGCAACTACATCCACCACAAGGGTCTGCTTTTCTCCCAAGGTATCTGTGTAACCAAAGACATGAAGAACACTGACAACTTCTACCAAGTTTTCTGCTGATTCCACAATGGCTCTTAGGTGCGTTAGATTAGTGCTCTGTAAATGGGATTCCTTAATAGCTACTTTCCCAGCATCTACTTTCTGCAAGAATTTTAATTCTGCCTTCAATTTGCTGCACAGCTTTGCACCACCTTCTATGCCACCTTTCCTTGATCGAGAAAGTGATTCTGCTCTCTTGGTCAGTTCCTTGGCTATGGCGATTCGTTCACAGAGCATGGAGTGTGCAGACATGCTGACAGCATTATTCCTTTCCCACAGCGCCAGAACCACGAGCGCGAGCGGGCGGCACGTGCGCGCGCGAGGCCGGGACCCGCCCCGCCGGGAGCCCTCGCCTGGCGGACCCCACCCCACGCTAGTCGCCGCGGCTCCTCCCGCGTCACGTGGCCTACTCACAAACATTTTTCTTTATGTTCTCTAGGGTCTATGTACAAGCTGCTCATTAAGTACATGTTTCCCCTTTATACTGGGCACGCAGATGACATTTCTCATATTTCCTTGGTATAGGCCTGTGACTGGGTTTTGCCCAATGAGATGTAATAGCCAAAGTATCTTACATTTGGGATACAGCTTTTAAGAAGAGTGTTTGCCTTTTCCACATGCTCTTCCCCCTCTACCAACTGGTCACAGAAAAGAAGAGGCTTCAGAAGATGGTGAAGGGCCAGGATGGAAAGAACCTGATTGCCCGTGAGTTCACAACCTCAGGAGTTTCCCAGATGAAATTCGGAACTGTCCCCCATACGTGGGGAATCAGGCAGACCACTCCAGACTGGCACATGGCAGCTTGAGCAAGCAAGGGGACTTTCAATGAGGCTTGCGTTGGGTGGTGGCAGATTGAACGGATCTTCCCACCTGCCTGCCAGAATCGTACAAGTTTTTAGGGAGGCTTTAATGGGGTCCAGTGACACATTCGACCTTGGTGGTCTGGACCACATATTACTGTCTCAAGTATGCATATTTGAAATGGCTCAGACTGTGGGAATGGTAGGTGGAACTCACATTCCAGGGACAGAGGAAAGAGTAGGGAGCCTCTCCAGCGGCCGAGGTCCAGCATGCAGGTCCAGCGTGCAATCATGTCCTTTGGACGATCTCTCCTGCTAGTCCCTTCATAATCATGGGGGAAAAAACCCTCATGGCCACTACTACGTCTTTAAATTATTATTTGAATGAGAAATAAACTTCTCTGTTATTGAGCCTATTTATAAATTTTACAATGTACTTGGTAGAACCGCTTGCAATCCTCTAACTCAGTGTTTCACTGAGTAGAATTTTCTACTCTCCAAGGGGACACTTGGCAACGTCTATCAGGTCTGGGACCAGAGTAGAGTGGGCTATGACCTAAGAGGAAATTAAATTTTACACCCTAAGCACCTTGCTTCTAAAGGAGGGCTGCTACCAGCCTCCATTAGATAGAGGCCAGGGGTGCTATTAAACATCCCATAGCCCAGTCTCCCACAACAAAGAGTGATCCTACCCAAAATATCAGTAGTGTCAAGGTTGAGAAAACCTACTCTAATTACTACAAACAAAGAACAAGTAAGTTCTCAATCAATGGTTGTGACCCTAATAGCTTAAAATCTATTCTTCAGGAGATAAAAATTTCTGTGGCCATCTTATTTCATCCAAGGGTCCAACCATCCAAATTCTCAACAGTACATCTGCTAGTTAAATAAAGAATATGTTTTAAATGGACAACTTTCCACTTTTCAAATTACAGAGATGTTCTTGTAAAGTTCAAAATTCTCCTATTTTCAGGAGAATGTATATGTATATACATACGTATATATATTTCACCAATCAGCAGGTCGGGTACTACAATATATAAATACTAATCTTTGGTAATCCATAACATATTTTGACACTAGTATCGGAAATGTCTCGACTATGAAAAATTAAAATGGATGAGGACTGTCATAAAAGGCAAAAACAACCTGCTATCCTAATCTGCTCATATCTTGCCATGTGCTTCTAACGTATCATTCTAACATGAAGTCCTGGGTCAGCTGAACTCCAAATAGTAATCCAATTTATTAATTTTCCTGGATGGCCTAGATATTTGGCTCAAAATCAAGTTCTGTTTCTAGTTTTGTACATCTTTTGTTCTGTTAGCTTTGCCAGGGCCTTTTCGGTATTTATAATCTTTAGAGAATACAAAAGGAGGCAGTATGGCAAAATATTCATGGACAGAAGCTCTGAATTCCAATGCAATGTCTACCATTTTCTAAAATCAAGACCTTCGACGAGATGGAGTCCTCTTCTGACTTATTTTCCAGTCTGTAGCATGAGGGACAAAGAGAGGTGATAATGTAAAAGCACTTAGAGCAATAGTAAGTGTTCAAAATGAATGAGCTTTATTACAGTGATTGTTATGGCCTGCCTCTCTCTTATATGTTGGTATTTTCCTGATACCTGTCTGTATTCCTGCTTGATTTATATTTCACTGATCAGTTTTATTTCTAGTGCGTGGCCTTTCTTCTCTCTCTCTTTTTTAAAATTTTATTTTAAATTTTAAATTAAATTAAATTTAATTTTAAACTAAATCCAAGTTAGTTAACATATAGTGTAATAATGGTTTCAGGAGTAGAATTTAGTGATTCATCACTTATATATAACACCCAATGCTCATCCCAACAAATGCCCTCCTTAATGCCCATTACCCATTTATCCCAGCACCTATCCAATACCCCTCCAGCAACCCTCAGTTTGATCTCTGTATTTTAGAGTCTTTCTTTTTTTAATGATTTTAAATTTTATTTTTGAGAGAGAGAGAAAGAGAGAGAGTAAGGGAGGAGCAAAGCAACAGAGGATCTGAAGTTGTCTCTGTGCTGACAGGAGAGAGCCAGATGTGGGCCTCAAACTCCCAAACTGTGAGATCAGGACCTGAGCTTAAGGCAGACCGTTAACCAACTGAGCCACCCAGGCGACCCTGTGTTTAAGAGTCTTATGGTTTGCGTCCCTCTCTGATTTTCCTAGTTTTCCTTCTTTTCCTCTCTCATCATCTTTTTTGTTTTTTTATTTTAGTTATTTAATTTTTTAAAGTTTATTTATTTTGACAGAGAGAACACAAGTGGAGGAGTGGGCAGAGAGAATCTCAAGCAGGCTCCACACTGGCAGTGCAGAGCCCAATGTGGAAGGTGATCCCATGAACTGTGAGATCATGACCTGAACCAAAATCAAGACTCAGATGCCACCCAGACTGAGCCACCCAGATGCCCCTGTTTTGTTTTTTAAATTCCACACGAGTGAAATCATATGATATTTATCTTTCTCTGACTTATTTCACCTAGCATAATACATTCTACTACCATCCATGTTGTTGCAAATGGCAAGATTTTATTCTTTTTAATTGCTGATTAATATCCCATTGTGTGTGTGTGTGTGTGCGCGCGTGCGCACGCGTGCACACGCACGTGTATATATACCACATCTTCTTTACCATTCATCAGTTGATGGACATTTGGGATCTTTCCATAATTTGGCTATAATCAATAGGGCTGTTATAAACATCGGAGTGCATGCGCCCCTTCGAAATAGCATTTTTGTATCCGTTGGATAAATACTTAGTCATGCAATTACTGGGTTGGAGGGTAGTTCTATTTTTAATTTTTTGAGGAACCTCCATACTATTTACCAGAGTGGCTGCACCAGTTTGCATTCCCACCAGCAGTGTAAAAGTGCTTCCCTTTCTCTGCATCCTCATCAACATCTATTATTTCCAGAGTTGAAATATGTTTAGCCATTGTTGAATTTTAGCCATTCTGACAGATATGAGGTGATATTTCATTGTGGTTTTATTTGTACTTACTTGATGAGTGATGTTGAGCATCTTTTCATGTGTCTGTCAGCCATCTGGTTGCCTTCTTTGGAAAAGTGTCTGTTCATGTCTTTTGCTCATTTCTTCACTGGATTATTCGTATTTTGGGGTGTTGAGTTTAATAAGTTATTTATAGATTTTGGTTACTACCCCTTTTTCTGACATGTTATTTGCAAATTTCTCTCATTCCATCAATTGCCTTTTAGTTTTGCCTTTCTTCTCTTCATCTTCTGTGTTACTATCTGCTATATCTTTTGTTTGCTCTTGTACTGTTCATGCTGATTAATTAAACAGATGTCCATTGGGTGCCTACTATGTTCTATTCTGATTATGACAGGAACAGAACAGATGGAAATCTCTGCCTTGTTAGAACTTACATTCTAGTGGTTGCTCTACCCATATCTTGACTCACAAGATTTCTGGTTTCCTGATATCTTTATGGTTGCTAACCTGATTTTCTCACCTAAACCCTTAAATGCATTGTTTGGCTCTACTCAATGTTCCTTTTAGCACTTTCATCTACAAAAAGATGAAAACAGCTGACCAAGTCTTGACATTGGTTTTAGCTCCATGTGTTGTAAAAATCACCGTACAGAAATGGAAAATAAAGAAGTACCAAGAAGTCATTTGCCTGATCCTTGAGACAGATCTATTCTACACTTCACCAGAGTAAGATCAGAAAAAAGTAATAGAGATAAGAGACCACATACAAAGATCAAGATGTTTCCAGAGGAAATTTAGCTTGGTATTTTAAGCACCGTGAGTTACTGAAATCAGAATGAGAACTTTCTGCGTGCCATTGGACATAGAGTTTTTGGAAATTTCTTGATCATTCATAGATGTTCTAAAGGTATTCTTAGATCTCTGAAATTTTTTTCCAATGTTATTTTTATCCAAGATCTCAGCACAAATGCCATTCTGTTTTTTATTATATATTTTTTGGTAACTGTCAAATACAAAAAATGAGGTGTATAGACTGTGTTTGATAAAATGTACCAATTCTTACATAAGTTATGTTTTATTGAGCAAAATTTCAATAATGGACGTTGGAAATCCTTTGTTATTGTACAGCTATGTAAGAGTGAACTATTTCTCATCTTGCATTCTATGTCTTTTAATGTTTTAATTCTAAAAATAACCTTAGGTAAATTACAAAGCAGGCTTTAACAATGAATAATCACACACTTTCTACATCATGGATATAGGGCCTTAAAGTTATCTTTGAAGCAAACAGAAGACCTTTAATTCACTACTGACTAATGCCATATGCCTTTCAGTACACAGGGGAAGGATTAACGATGTGTAGGAACATGTAAACGAAGAAAATCAGTCACAGGTGCTAAAGGCACCATAATGATTGCTTTCCTATGAAATAATAATCCCCATGTTCTTCAGATAGAAAATGGGGTTACTCTTGGGAATATAAAATCAAATTTTGTAACAGTTAAAGGCTATTTTTGTGAAGACATTTTCAAGTGGATTGATGAAAGAAGAGC